TCATAGACTTTACAAAACAAAAGTTTGAAAGCTTGCTCAAGGCTGATCAGCTATGTGTTAATCAATGACCACAAGTTCTATACCTTTATTTAAAATGTTTATTAAAAAAAAAAAAAACTTTATCAACATTATTGGACTTAAAACAACTGCATTATGGATATTAGTTACCATGTGGCTGATTAGCCTCTGTGCTGTCTTTGAACTAGTAATATATATATTTTTTTTAAGTCTACGGCAGGGGTGTCAAACTCAAATTCACAGAGGGCCTAAGTTAAAAACGGCGACTAAGTCATGGACCAAACTAAATAGTTTTGCTTAAAAATTGAATACAAAACAAGAATAATATAAAATAATAACAACATTTTAAATAAATCATGTCTCTATAGCCTATCTGTAGACGGCGGGCCAGCTCTAATACATGTTTGATAAGATCTTGCGGGCCAAATATAATTATATTGCGGGCCAAATTTGGTCCCCGGGCCTGAGTTTGACATGTCTGGTCTATGGGAAAAATAAATGGAAAATTTACTTCCAGAACCTGAGCAGGGGATCACTGTAGAGCTATATTCTTAAAGGTGCTCAATATAACTTTTTCCGCAGCATGGCATTACACATATGTATATCTCCATGGAGACAAGCAGGTGTATGAGAAGAATTTTGTTTATTTACCAGTGAAAAATGCACGTATTCTGTTATTATTATGTACACTGTCGAACATTCCAGACAAAGCATCAAATCATCTGAAAAGTTACATAGTATTTCTTTAACTACTACTGCTGCTACTTCTACTACATGTCTTACAATCCCTACCTAATCAACTCGACAAGCTGAGTTAAAGTGGTGTGCTACTCTAGCCAAATGATATCACTTAATCTCACGAAGTGCTGTTCTTTATAGTGTTCGTGTAAGCTATTAAGTACTTTTACATCTTTTATAGTACATTAGCAATATATATTCATTTCTGTATACGTTTCTTAGTTTATCTAAAAGTAACTACACATATTTTTGAGCGGCGCATCTTGCTTTTTTAGCTCTTAAACAAATATACTGAATCTTGCTGTGCCTATAGCCTGTATTTATGTGTGTGCGTGTGCAAGTGTGTGTGTGTGCTTGTCAGAATAGATGTATCCCACTGAGGAGCTGCTCTTTTCACCCTTGGGCCCGCCAACGCTGCACAGAGCCCACATTCAGACTCCCTGACGTTTGTACAGCAAATTCCATCTCCTCCATCGCCTTTTGATTCATACTTTTTTTTCTCTTGCTCTCTCTCTCCCTTTCCTCAAATCCTCTTTTTTTATTCTTGGCGGTGAAGTACCTTTTTGTCCGCCGTTTGAACTTGGGTGAAGAATCGCCGCACCAATGGAGGTTGAGGTTAGAGCGGGTGGGCAAAGTGAATCACGTTAGGAAAACAAATATGAAGAATTAGAGAGTGTGTTGACAGGGAGCATATGTTAAACGAGGCTAGAAAAACTATAGCCCGTCGGCCGGTGTTAGGAATTAGCTGTTCAAGTAAAAATGGGACTTAACCCTGAGTTTTTGGAGATACTACTACTTATACTTTCAATTGAGCTTTTAATTGAGTCAGCTACTGCTTCATTCTGTAGTACTTGATATTATTTATATTTTAATTGATGTTAATTAAGAGTTGTTAACTTTATTTGATTGCACTTGGTCAAATGTACATGTATTTTGTGGTATTTTGTATGGTAAATCCAAAGTAAGATGTTTTTTGTAGAACTTTTTTTTGCTATTTATCTGACAATATCAATAAGGTGTTTTTCTGATTCTGATTTTGGATTGTTTCCATGGAGATGTTATTGCGTTGCCTGAAATGTTCAACTACAACATTTAGTCTCCATGGAGACAGATAATTTTAATGTCATATTGTGGAACATTCCAGGCTAAGCAGTAATATCTTTGTGAACACTGCACCAAAAAGTTACATAGTGCAGCTTGAACTTTCATAGACTTGTATAACTGTTAGCCTTTCTAGTCTATTAGTTATCTTATCTGGTCCATCTTACTGCTGATAATAAAACACCAGCCCTCAGAAGCTTGCCGTCTAGTGTCTCGTAGCATCTCTGTGTTGTCTCTGTAGTCAGTACTAGATGTCCACATGTCCCAGAGGGGGTCAGCTCAGCACAGCCTGTTCCCATGGCGTCCCGGTCCATCCATACTGTATGTTAGCGTGGATTAGAGGATGAAAGAATGCCACTGACTGTGAAATTGCCTGATTTTTATCGCGGATGTTGGGGCGCAGCTGTGCACAATCCTCTGGCCTAATCCTGCATGGGTCTGGAGAGGCCTTGGCGATGAGGGGACCACTGTGGAGCTCCTCTAGTGTGTCTATGTCTATGTGTGTGTCAGTGCATTTGATGAGGAAGTTATGAACGGTTTGGACTGCCTCTTTCAGCGCACTAGTTAGCCCTGATAAGTTTTTTGCACAGCAGAGTAGACTGAGTTTTCATGTTATCAACTGGATGTACACCAGCCAGTTTAGAGCCATGGTGTAATATTATTATTGATGCGTTTGACTGTGTAATCGTATGGTTATCTTACCAAACCCAAACAAAGTAGAAAAGGGAGTAGAAAGTTGTTAAAGGTCCTATATTACACAAAATTGACTTTTGTGAACTTAAAGCCATGTTATGATGTTACCGCATCAAAAAAATACCCAGAGTTGTGTTTTGTTTCATTCACATGTTTGAGTAATCCGTTATTATTAGACTGTCTACATCTCCAAAGCTCAAAATGCTCCGTTCCACCTTGTGATGTCATGTAGTGGTAGTTTTCAACAGCTTTTAGCTTTTAGTTTAGTAGAAATTGGCAATTTCAGAGCTGAAATCAAAATGAGTGAAGGTGTATGGAGTGCCACAGTGGAGCATTTCCTGTAGTACATGACATCACAAGGGGGAGCAGAGCATTTTCAGTTTGAGAGAGAAACTAAATATGCAGGTTTTGTATGTTTAACATGTGTGAATGAAACAAAACACAACTCCAGGTCTGTTTATGATGAGGAAACAACATTTTAACATAATGTTTAAAGCGTAGCGGCCTTTTGATCTAAGTTTTTGTTTTCAATTATCCTATCTCGCTATGCTAATGATATCAAAATTATAGATGATGCTTTGAAAAGAAAGTATAGATTGGAAAGGGGATGAAGGAACAAAACAAATCAAATTGCTCTTTGGGGTGGCTTCAAACATAAAAGCTGTGAAACCACTGCCTTACCCCACACCTTTTGTCCCTTGTATAACATTGACTATTAACACATTAGGCAACTAGACCATATAATCAATTTAATATCAACTTATATAATTCACCTCTGGGCCCACAGAAAATTCAAATATGTTGCCTATAATTAAAACTTCAATGACACACACGTAAATAATGCATTGGGATGATAAGTAATAAGTTGTGTACAGTGCGTGGTTGAAAGGGTGGGCATGTTTTGATCCCTGTTCTTTGATGCCCCCACATAGACAGAAGCTCGCAGGGCCCGGCGTGGGAGGCAGGCAGTGAGCTTCCCTGTCTCCCAATGCTAGCCTGTAACCGCACTGGTCCCTGATTCTTTATGGCGGCTCTGGCATATTTGCATAGGAGATGAATCGCGGCCTATCACAGTGGCCGTGACAGAAAAATACACAGCAGGTGACAGGGAAACATATGTCTGTGAATGCCATGGGGTCCCGGAGCCGGATAAACCTCCAAAGGCTAACTGGCAGGTCTAAGTAGCGCCACAGCATTAATACATATTATTCACAAAGAGCATGATTGAGGACAGAAATGTGCCCGCCGTGTACCCAGCTGCTAAGTTGGCACACATCTCCAGCCTCTTCTTTTTTTCTTCCTCTTTTTTTTGTGCGCGACTTGGGTTTAGCCACGCATTCACAGAATTCCCCATGCGCCTCTTATTCATTCATTCAGGCAAGCTAGGCCACGCTGTACCAACAAAACTGGTATCCACCGGTGCCAATCCGCCGAATAGTTGAGCGCATCGCAGCAAATTCAGATTTTTGACAAGTATATTCAACACTTCATAAGGTGGCATCATAAAAGAGCTTTCTGTTATTTTAAAATTATGTATCGTTTTCACATGGGATATGATTTCCTTTGCTAGAATGTGCGTGTTGTTATATTTTCGCTCCCTGACATTTCGTGGCTTATGCAAACTGGAATCAAAAGCACGCATCCTTAAGCGAGCACTGCGGGGCGGGTCCGTAACCTCTTGCCTGCAACATAAAGTGTGCTAACCTTGCTTTTCATAAACACTCATAAACATGTATGTATATATTTTCCATAGCTTGTCTTTCCGGACCATCGGGAGGTCAGCAGGTGCCTCTGTGCTTGCCAGATGTCTCTCTCTCTCTGATATACACAGATGGATGGGAAGAGGAGATAGTTAGAGGTAAAGCGCCCTCTAGTGAACAAAATGGGTTAGATCCTTATTTCAATCTGAAGGTCAGTTCGGAAAGAAAAGGTTTAGTTCTTATGGTAGGCGTATAAGCACAACCTAATCCTTGTGTTATCTTTCTAAATAATGTTTAACCAAATAGACATAGGATTTTCAGGCTGAGTTCACTACTACTGCTACTACAACTACTAAAACATTAATTCTTATTTTCAAAACCAAACATTGTTAGTATAATAGGTCTATATCATTTTAATAAGAATGGATGATTTCAGTCACAATTTTGAATCTTAAAAGTGAAATTTGTGTATTATATTGACAAACATATAACAGTATTATTTTGCCTAGTGTGTTCAATGATTGTGCAAATGTCCGTGGCTTGTTCATTCATGGCTTGTTTATTCATGTACTTCACCACTGCCAAACATGGCCTATTCAAGTATTATAAAACATAGTATTATTCAAATATATGAGATTCAATTTTACAGTACATATAGCATAAGTAATTATAATTCTTTCAACTCCGATTTAAGGTTTAAGAACATTTTATTTTTGGTTCTGTAAACTCCAACGTGATCTATAACATACAGGGCCTGTAATTGCAGAAAATACTTGTTTTTACAGTCAGAGAAAAATGCAGTTGGGGCCATACCTTCACCGTTTTTCTGTCTGTTTGAAATTAGTCTGCGAAACAGATGGTATATTATCCTAATGATTTGAACATACAACTTTAACATATGGAATTGCGGTTTATTATATAGCATCCATAAAGCAAACTTACATGATGTCCTTTAAGGGGCTTGCTGTAAAAATCTGCCTTCTCTGATTGGCTGTTCTTCTTGCTTTCTTTCGCCACGGCACCTAGGGGGGAAATTATGGAAAATGTACGGCTGAGCGCAGAGTTGCAGCATATAACGAAACAAAAGCCTCCCGTTTAGTGCTTCTGAAACTTAGCTACATAAAACACGGCACCAGGGATTTGAAAATACACCCCCCTCAGGATTAATTCCCCACCACTGCAGCTAGGACTGGAGGAACTACAAAGGCACACAAACACACACATTTTCCTCTCAGATAAGTTGTACAGACTCACTTGGCGTGTGATGAACGATGCTGATTTTATCTGTGGAGAGAGGAAAGTTAAGCCAGTTGCAATATACACTAAATGAACTCATATAAAGGGCATTATACTTTATCCATATAGCTGTCTATGCACGAGGCAGACAAATTATGCAGTCTTACTTACTTTTACCAAGTTTCAGAATAGAAAGTTTTACTAGCCTTATAAACATATTTATGTCCAGATGCTTAAGATAACAATGGATCATTCTTACTCAGTCAGCCTAGGTCCTATATTACATAAAATAGACTTTTGTGAGGTTGAAGCCATGTTAGAATGCTGTTACCTTGTGTTTTGTTTCATTCATACATTTTTTGAGTAACCATTTATTATTAGTCTGTCTACATTTCCAAAACTCAAAATTTCCACATTGTGATGTCATTTAGTGGTAATTTTTAGGTTAACAGCTACTTTTTACCTTTAGTTCAGTAGAGATTGGCAATTCCAGGTCTGAAATTATCCAAATGATTCTACTGAAGGTTTTTGGAGTTTAAAAGCATAGTGGAACTCTTACTGTATTACCACATGATGTCGTAAGATGGAACAGAGTTTGTGTCTTAAAATGTGTGAATGAAACAAAACGTAACTCCAGGTTTGTTTCTGATAAGGAAAGAACATTAAAACATGGATCAGAAAATAATGTAATATGGGCCTTTTAATCGGTGCATGATGCACATTAACCATAAATATAGACGTATTATGCAAAATGTTGCCTGTCCAGCCAGTCCATTTCACTACATTCAAATGGCAGGTGTCCTATAATTAAAAATATAAATAATGCATAGCATGTGATTTTAAACTAATCAAATCAATTATCCATAGAAAAAAGTATTTACCATAGATATCATCATCTTCTTCAGTGTTTCTGACAGTGGCTTTCAGCTGACTCAACTTCTCCTGTGGAAGATCATAGAGTTAATACGATGCCCGCTTACCCACAGCAGGATCCACTAAGCACTGAACACATTTCTTTTCATCTGGTAGATTTCCATAAATTGTCCTGTGTTATTATATGTTCTCCATGCTGACAAAAGAAACAAATTGAGCCTTTGGAGTTTGTTCATAAATCTTTCATACCTTCATGGTGGTTCAGTGGAAAAACAGTGCAAATGTGAACCACAAAAGACCATATGCTATTAGAGGGAGGCTCTACTGTCACTGCAAAAACTACTAAATCCACTTTAACTATTTTATTCACTCACTCCGGGAGCATATATTTTGAATGATATGACATACATTAATTTTTCCTTTCTAGTGTAAAAGAAAGGAAGCAATTCTTTAATGTGTTTGTAGTATCTGAATCTGACCACTCGAGGGCAGCACAGATAAACGTCAGACATGTGAGGCATGGACATAAGGCTTCTTTGTAGTTGACCTTGTTTGCTCCTCTTTCAAAACCAAATAAATAAATAAATAAAAGCCACATGGATCTTATTTTAAGATTTTATCTCTACTGTGTTGTGCTTGTGGCTAAATGTAGCCTAAGCTAGTAAGTTAGCCATTTGTCTGTGAGCTACTGTAAGCTTCACCAGGAAAAGTTAGCCTGCAGTATAATGAATGACGATGCTTCTTCAACTTTTCAATTTGAACAGAATGAAATAACTGCTGAGAAGAAATCTGTTTCAAGATAATCTTAGTTTAGTAACTAGTAATTCTGTGCTACTTACAATGGCAAACATTTCTCTTTTTTTTAGATTTTTAATTAAATAGACCTATCAGCAAACCAACATTAATATTTCTTCAAATTTAATAGTTTGTTAGAATAGACACTGCAAACTGTGTCCCGACTTCATGGCACTATAAAAATGTGTTATTATCAAGTGTTAGAAAAGACAGAATGAAGTCTTTTGTAACTAGTGACCAACCAAAAGCCAGTTTGTTCAGTTGAAATTTCTAAATTAAAATAGGGACAGCCAAGGGAAGCATAATTGCATTTGGCCCTTGTGACTGTTCACCTGATAAATATTCCAAAACCAGAAAAAATTACCCCAATTATGAACCCTTCTGGCAGGATAAGTGCACCATTCCAGTGATTTACAGACAAGCCAGCATCCCCCGCTTATTTCTGTGCTGTGCAGACACTACCAGAATCTTAAACAACTACCTCTTATTTCTCAAAATGGCACTTTCTTCAATATGTTTCCTTGTATCAGCCTGCTCTTTTGTGAATCTATCTTTCTCTGCAGGCTGTGGAGCAGATGGCTGTGCAGGTGCCAGGGGTTTTATCTCCAGTCTAATGACTCCCTGTGTGTGAAATGTCTTACCTGTTGGATGGCGCCCTCCTGAACTGGCGGTCCGCTGTTGTTGCCATCCTTGGCGTTGTCAGTGGGGAGTGAACTGGCCCGGGCCCTCTGCTTGGACCCTGGAGTGGGGGCGGCCACAATGGAATCATAGACGGAAGATGGGGTGCCCAGGTGACCTTGGGCTGACAGGAAGAAGCAAAGAAAACGTTACCCAGGTACTTATCAATTCTAAAACCAGCATAGAAACTAGATTCTCATTTGAACAAGTTGCACAAGTATAGTTTTTTTTTTTAAATCAACCATAATAAACAAATTTGGATCGATAAAGTCTCCCTCTCTCCCTCTAAACAGAGCTAATTTGGACCTATAAATTGGACAAATCTGGATCTATATTGGAACAATATAACTGTAGATTGGACACTTTTTTTGCTTTTAAAATACCTTGACAAGATTTTGTTGTGAACTATTTCCATCATAATCCCAAGAATTCAAGTAAAAAAACATATCTTTTCATGTTGTTTGCACTGAAATGACTCATGGGATATGTAGTTTCCGATGTTCATAAGCTGTTGCTACTATAAAACCATGCATTTAAGCAAAGGAACTTCAATCTGTTGTGACAGTCCATGATATTATTAAGAGACTTTTGACAATACGATATCACGATATTTCGGTTATTGTTACATCTCTATTGATTATCCTTATATTGCACACACAGTTTTGCTTGACTATGAGCTTAAAGTTTTCTTGAAATCTTGTAATTTTTTAATAAGATGTAAACTTTATTATAAAAATATTATACACAGATTTTCTTTCTCCAAACAAGCAGCAAATGTCTGTGTAATGTATAGAAAAGGGTTTAGGTGGGCCAGGTTGACTTTAGTGTCCATCAAAAGGAAATTAGTTCTTTGCATTTGACCTATCCATCAATGCCACTGTGGCAACCTGTCAAGAGGAGAGGTAACCATCTCCAGATATGAGCTCCTGGCCGGAGGATTGTCCAACTGTGCAGGGTGATACAGTATCCAACAAAAAGTCAGTGTGCATTACTTTCAAACGAATGAGTTATATTTATAGTTCTAGGTTTTGGTTGAATTGTTAAACACAAAACGGTCTATTGACTTCCTGTTCAAAACTGCAGAAATGATTGCAGATTGTATTTCAGCGTAGAAACATCAGATTTTCCTCTAGAGTGTTTTTAACTTTGAAAAGTGGGTATGCAGCATTTTCTTTTTTGTTTGACACACAATTAGATTTTTCCAAAGAATTACAAGCAGTGGTGGAAGACGTACTCAATTCTGTTACTTAAATGAAAAAATAAAAATAGTCATGCAAAAGTACAAGTGTCACATGAAAAATCTACTTAAGTAAAAATATTAAATTCCTGTTTAAAAATGTGCTTAAAGAGTAAAAAGTAAAACTATTTTAAGCAGATTCTGAGATCTAATAAATAATTAAATAATAATTAATAAAGATTTGTGCTGAATTGACTATGAATGTAATGTTTGTAATGTAGTAAAGTAAAAGTAAAAAGTATCCACTTTAAAATGCACTTAAGTAAAGTATAGATACCTACTTTACTACTTTTACTTCATTACGTTCCACCACTGACCACAAGAACAGAACAGGACTTGGGGTAGGAGTTTTTTTTTTTTTTTTTTACAGTGTCAGGTATCTTATTTTCCATTGTATCTATCAGTTCCAAGTTGTACATAGTAAACCATGACTCCATTGTGGTTTGATTTTGCAGAGTCATTTGCACTGCTGACTCTTCATTGTATGGATTTACTCAAGTGTTTTCTCGTCTCGTCTTTAATGTCAGTGTCTCATGAGGACGTGCTTCTCATTTTCTCCTGGCGCTAGTGATCGATGCAGCTGTCATTCAGAGTCTACACCAGTTCACTAAAGCAGACACAGGCCCCTCTCTGCGCGCTCTCCCATAGCTCCTGTTAAACCACTCATTCAGTTTGATAATCGCAGCCATCTGTACAGAAACATGCTACCTGTTACGCATAATTAATTTTTAGTATGAGCGTGTTTTTCTCACAAAAGTTTATTTATGCCAAAAATAATGGAATAAATTGCTAACCCATTAAGGGCACTATCTTTGCATTTATCCAGATGTTAATTTCAGCAGTCCAGTTTTTGGCATTCTTTTGCTTCAGTGAGTAGAAATGGGCGATATAAGCGATGAGTATATGTTATAATTCAAGACCTTTCAAACAAACACCTTGCCCCGCCCACTCCTGCTATTGGTCAGCAGTCTCTCCCTTATGATTGATTGACAGGTGGATATCAGTAAATCGTAGTTGTGAGCCATTACAATTTTATTACAATGGCTGACAGTGGCTCAGTTGATAGAGTGTGATAGATTGACCCACAAGTTAATGGTGTGATTCTGGATCCCACAGAGGAATGCTATTGTTGTATCCTTGGGCAAGACACCTAACCTGCCTTGCCCCCAGTGTCTGCCTACACTGGTGTATGAATGTGTGTAAAACGCTTTGAGCGCCTTGTACAGAGGTGAGACTTGCAAGTTGTGACTTGGACTCGAGTCAGACTTGAGTCACTATTTTTAGGACTTGAAACTTGACTTTATAAAATGGGTTAAGACTCAGTAACACTTGCGATTCAACTTGAACTTGAAGGTCAGTGACTTGGGACTTGACTCGGACTTGAGGCCTGTGACTTGAGAAGCACTTTTAAATTTGAATTCTTGAAACCGTAATGATTCACTCTAAGATCTTGATAAGACATTTAAAAAGGACAAAATTACATTTCTACAACTCTTATATACTTGATGAATATTCATATATAAATATACTAGGATTTTAAAAATAAAAATCTAATAAATTGCAAAAATCTAATCTATATTTTGTACTTTGGTTTAAAAACTTGAAATGACTTGAAGCTCAAAGCAGACGACTTGAACTTGACTTGGACTTATGGGCCAGTGACTCGAGACTCGACTTGGACTTGCATGTATTTGACTTGGCACTTGACTCGGGCTTGAGGTCAAAGACTTGAGACTTGCTTGATACTTGTAAAACAAATACTACTGGCCTTGTACATTGAAAAGCACTTTTGAAATACTCACCTTCCTTAGATGTATTAATACATTCGGGCAATCAAGAAATTCAGAATTTCAGCATACATTCAGAATGATTTTTGACAGATTTGTACGTATGCACAACTCACCTTTTTTAGTGGAAACAGGTAACAGCCCAATTTTGCCTTGGTTCTTCTTTTTCAGGAACACTGTGAACCAGAATAATTTTCAGAACTATTGAATCACAAAATTTGTCTATGAGTCCCTGGTGCAGACCAAACTGACTGAGAGTGCAGTTTCAAAGGGTTCAAACACTTCTGTAATATGCTTCCATTAAGTTATTATCACGAAATTGAATCAAAACAGCTGGACTTACTAAACTTTTGCAGTCAACGTTTCACTACTAACCAAGCGGCTTCATTCAACCTGGAATTTGTAGGAAAGAACTACCTGAGCTAACACCTGGTAGCCCCATCTCTACATCTGGAGGGAGCCACAGTCACTAATATAAAGCTCTGAAGAAGCTACTTGGTTAGTGATGCAATATTGACTGCAATATATTAATTATAATCAGGCAATTTTACTCTCAGAGAATGAAGATACAGTATCAAGGAACTGTAAACAAAAATAATAATTATGACTATGAACTCTCTCAAAAAAGCAACTGTATTTTAGTTATGAAACTACATTAATTGAGACAGAGATTGTGCTCTTAAAACAATCCTTTTTACTTATACTAACTTCATGGATTTTAGAACTTCAATCAGTTTTGCATTACACAGTTTTTACCAGAAGATGGCGCCACACAAGTACTAATCACCAACCATTTTAATCTTGGTTTGGCAAAAATGAGACTTGGAAAATTAGATCCTTGCCCTTTTGCAGTAATCAGGAATTTGAATCCTTTCATTTTTCCTTGGCTTTGCTTTTTCAGTTTGGAAAGAATAAAACGGTCCATCTTGTTACAAAAGTTTGTTCTCCTGAATGAATGCTTTCCCTGTCTGACTGATGTTGTGCAAATTCTCTTCAGGGACTAAAACTGTATTACAATTCAGTATCCACACCCCGTAACATAATCCCACCTCAAAGTACTTGTATTTTCTCCATTGCACCACTGCTCTGTTCACCTCAATCTCTCTGCTCAGTCTACTCTTCTGTGGCTCAGTGCAGCAGCAAATTGCCAGTGAAGAGTAGTGCTATTATTGTAGCTCTAACATTGCTTTAGCCTCATGTACCCTCAGTGGACACATTATTAGGCATACCTGTTGTACTTGCTTGTCTGAGGTGGAACATGGAGGATTCAGATATATCCAAGGTTTTTACTTCAATACAGGTTTGCCTTTTTTTAAGAAATTGATTTTACAAGGTAGAAATTTAAGTAGAAGTGCTCGAAATATCTTTAAACATCATTCCACTAATCGTAACATAATAAAATAAAAATAAAAATAAGGAATTATAATAGTAAAGGAATTGGAGTTGAAGAGTTTTATTTTTTACATCCAATACTTTTTATTGTTTATCAAGACCAGTAGTTCTGTTGAATTGAATGTCAAATTAGTGCTAACTCTAAATTATAGTATTACTTTAAAGCAACAGTACGTAACGTTTTGGTGGTGACACTTTACCTGCATCACTGCAAGAAAATATAGAGTAAGGTTCAAACCATGCTTTGGAACTTTACTATGTTTACCATGTATTTATTTATTTATTTATTTAAGTATTAGTATAGAGTAAAGTTGAAACCATGCTTTGGAACTTTCTCCATAGAGCTAGATGTTTTATAGCCTGATTCATCAGCTGGTCTCACTTCGTGGAAACAGTCCACAGCATTAGGATTCATTCACTCAATGGTAGGCGGGTACTTTTTTTATTTAACCAATCTCTGCTATTTGGTCGTGACGTATGTAATGCGCCAAATCCTGTAGGAAGAAGGGCAATAACGTCTTTCCGATTGATAAAATTCACCAAACATTCTCTTTGTTCCGGCTTTAAATCCTCGATCTCTGGAATCGTTGCCAACACAGAATGTATGGCTTCGTCTACATTTATCTCGACCACTTTGTTTACTGTTGTGTTGTACCACAAAAGGGACCCAGACAGGCGCTTGAGTTTGACATCATGGCTTCACAGCTCTTTGCTGATTGGCCAATGCGTGGTCTAAAACTTTTGGGGTTCTCGCAAAACGTCTAGTGTATTCCGATTCCTGACCTAGTCGCTGGAGAGAAATGAATTTGAGCGAAGACTCTAGGTGGCACCTAGCTAGATGTTTTATGCCATATGGCGGAAAAATGTATCCCAAGCAAAATTTCCATGGTGACAAGCAGGTGGAGTCCCAGACAGGTTTGTGAAGATGCAAGCCCACTCACAAGAGGTTTTTAGTGCGCTACAAATATCCATAATGAAAATACATGCTTTTATTTTTGTCTTTTGGCTAAAAAGTTATGTGGTGGTGCTTTAACCTTTTCTTTTAACCTTTAAATCAACACACAACATATTTTGTCAATTCCCATACTTTCTTCCATGCACTATGATTTGCATTGGAGCATATGTACTGAATAAAGTAGCCCCTAAGTCTACAAGCATAGCAATTCCTCCCTATAGGATTAAGCCATTTTCATATTTAAGCATTTCACATTCATTATTTCCACTTGTACTGTGTTGTGTACTGACTGGCTCTGCTCCTAACCCTCCATCATCCTAACTGTGGCAGAACCCAATAGGATCCTTGTGTCTTTCTGAACGCGGTCTCAAAGATGGAAACCTCAAAATGCGTCTTTTTTCTTCCATTTTGTGCTCTGGGGACAGGGACGATGGAAAACATGTGTAATGACTTATTCTGGCTGACTTGCTGCTAAGGCCAAGATTGGTTGCAGATGGTAGCCCCGCTGAGAAAGAGAGTGGATTTGGGGTAGTCCACTGGTGCTTTATTCAACTCACTGGGGAGCCCCTTTGCTCAGTAAACATTTCATTTTGTGTGCGCGTAATTAGTGATTTCATATTGTCTTTAGGGATGCTGTACGCTTTCTGTTTAGATTAGATTTTTAATCATTTACAGCCAGGTAATTTTTGATATTTCAGCCTCATAAAGAATTCATGATGTGAAATGGAAAAGAACAGCAGTGCAGGAAAATCTGTTAGCACCATTAAAATAGTAAAAAAGCTCTATGAAACGATTGGCTCCATCTGCCTACATGTTTTAGTGCTAATAGTAACAGCCTTTTACCACTAAGGCAAAGGTAAAAGGCTGTTAATACTAGCAGTCGTAAGCAATAGTTTTGGTTATTAAAAGTACTTTTCTCGTGGGGGGTACGCTATCTACTTGTCTCCTTGGAAATGTTCTTGCTTTGTGTGGAACTATCCATGATATGACATTACATACTGTACATATCCAGCTAGTATGTATTTATTATGGGTGTTTCTGTTGCTCAGTAATGCAGTAATTCCTTCTGTGAATAGGGGTGACTCTCCACATATCTGAATTGTAATGTAGTGTACTCGTGTAACCTTCTTGTCTCCCTCGTGATAGATAGGTTTAATCTATACTGTGGAACATTCTAGAGAAAGCAATAACATTTCCATGGTTTCCACCAGTGTATTAGCCAGGCTGGTGCCACCTAGTGCCTCCGCTCAATTTAATTTCTCTCCAGCGAATAGGTCAGGAATCAAAATACACTAGACAATCTGCAAGAACCCCGGAAGTGCGAGTTCAGGCACCAGCCAATCAGCAAAGAGCCATACATTCTGTGTTGGCAACGATTCCTGAGATCGAGGATTTAAAGCTGGAACAAAGAGAATGTTTGGTGAATTTTATCAAGGGGAAAGACGTTATTGCCCTTCTTCCTATGGGATTTGAGAAAAGCTTAATATACCAGTTAGCCCTGTTAGCAGCGCATTACATACATCACAACCAAATAGCAGCGACTGGTTAATTTTTAAAAAAAGTACCCGCCTACCGTTGAGCGAATTCTAATGCTGTGAGATCAGATGGTTAACACAAAGTGAAACCGACTGATGAATCAGGCTTTCAGTCTATCTCCAAAACTCAAAAAGCTCTGCTCCACCTTGTGATGTCATGAAGCAGTACTTTTCAAGTTAACAGCTACCTTTTAACTTTTGTTATGTAGAGCTTGGCAATTCCAGGGCTGAAATCATCCAAATGATTATAATGAAGTGTATGAATTTTAAAAACAGTGGAGTACTTCTGGTACCACCACATAACATCACAAAGTGGAACACTGTCTTCCATTTGAGAGAAGAAGGAAACAGGATTTGTGTGTTAAACAAAACACACCTCCTGGTATGCTTTTGACAGGGAAACATTATTTCCATAACATTGTCAAACAGTGTAATATGGGCCCTTTAAATTATAGACATTATATTGTGTCTTCATAACATTACTGTAAGCACATTTGACTTAAGCTTTAGCCCACTCCTTCATTACCGATTCAATTTGGTCTTTAGGGATGACACAATTTCAAATGTACTCTTTATGTTTACACTTGCGCGATGAAAAAGGGTCTTTTAATGATTCATACGCCTTAATAACACCCGTCACTTTTAGATGTTTCAGTCTCATCCAATATTCATGGAGCTCAAATTGAAGAGAACCGCAGCCTCTGAAGCTCGGGGTCTGTCTGACTTCCTGCGTTTTGTTTGTTTTGAGCAGCAGCACAGTACGAGTCGTGTTCTTGTGGCTAATGGGATCAAAACAAACTTCACTTTCTCCTCTGTCTCTTCTCCTCTGACAATGGTGCTTTCCAGGCCTTTCCTCCCGTCCACCCACACTAGCTTCTAAAACTAAAATGCCTCTGCACAAGTAAGAGCTCTTTCTACCTCTCTTTAACTGTCATTAAACACAATACACTTTATAATGCACTGGTGGTATTTAGGGGTAGGCAACAATACTGACAGGAATCAAGATCTCTATTTTATGGGAATGAAAATGTTCAGACAGATTGCTAAAATATGTCTGATGTAGTTGAGGTCCAAACTTTGCAAAAAAAAAAAAAAAAAAAAGAGAGAATGGACTATAATGGACTACAAAAGATTAACACAAACCATTCTATTTGCTGCAGTGCACATTTCTTACTATGTTTATTACGATGTATTATTTATTTATTTATTTATTTACTTATTTATTGACTGTTACTTATTGAACAAAGCAACTGAGCAAGAGCAGCCATTTATAATTGTTACATGCACAGTCAGGTTAGTTTTTTAATATGAAAAATGTTTTTAGTGATGTTAAGATAAAGGCTAAAACTAGTTTGGAATAAATCCCAGAAGGGTTGACATGCAGAGGTGAGTAATATGCAGTTACATTTATTTGAGTACTACTTTTTATTGAAGTAACAGTACTCTTACTTGAGTAAAAGTTTTCATTCAAGAGAAGATAAAATATTCAAGCATTTGTTTCAGATATGATTTAGTTTTTTCCTCATTTTTGTGGCTTTGAAAATACCAGATTTTTTGCATTATTTAATGTTTTGTCCTTCCAATTTCATTAACTGCAAATTATAAATCAGATGCTATTTCTTGACAGTTTACTTGAGTAGTACTTTTCCCAAATACTTTTTTACTCTTAATAATTAAGAGTAATTTCTTGTACTTGTACTTGAGTAATATTATTTTGAAGTAGCATTACTCTTACTCTATCTAGCTGTTGATGCAATGTGTCAGTATAGGGCAGCTAATGACGTACCTGGATCAGCTGAGATTGTATTGCTGTTTCAACTAGCACTACTAGATTTGTAGAAAATCAAAAATAAAACAAAAAAAAAACCTAAGAATTTCAGAAAGCTAACAATTTTCATAAATCTGATGTACTCTTATCTGCAGAATCGCTAAAGTGTTATCTTCACATCCCACAAAGCAGCCACATTGGGTCACACTGCATTACCTTTGGCGATGGAGCTGATCCTGCCTTCATGCTCAGTAGTTTGGGGGCGCGGGGTGGGTGCGGGGGGGCGGTTTGGGATCACCACAGATGGTTTTGGATTCTCGATGGTGTCGTATATCTCGCCAACACCGAACTCCGTGTAGGGGTCCTCTTCTTCCCCCTCCTCTGCGTCACTCACTCGCTGCTCTTTCTGACGGTTGGCAGTGGAGGCGCTCCCTGTGAACAAAGTGTTAACCACTCTGCCGCTCCAGTGAAGTTCATGCTGTTTTCTGAAGCGCCACTCCACATTTAGACTGTACCAGCATGAGAGGAGCTGTTCAAATGAGCACCAGAATGACTATAGCTTTATTTTACTGTCATTCGTACCTGCGGCGCCCATCTCATCATACACCCCGGAGTTCGCACTGTCCTCTCCTGGGTCGATCATCTGCAACAACACAGCAGACATAATGTCTTTACAACCCCTTGGCAACATATGTGAGAAAGAAACTTATTTAAATCCATTAATTTTGTTGTATAGTCTGGCTAAGGCTGCAGAACAGACTAAACTATACAGGGCCAACCTCAGCGTAGTGAACATAGACTAATATATTTGTATAAAGAAGTGGACTAAGGGAGTGTGCTGTCACCCATGGCGTTTGGCTCCAGTCAAATGATGCTCACAATGCCAACAGTTATAGGGGCAAATTCAGAGCAAGTTCATATTAGGAATAGGATTTATTTATCGACAAAATATCAAAATTTTTAGACCAAAATGACAAGGCTCACAACAGCATTTAGAGAGCTGACATTTGAGTTGATGGAGCCGTAAGCTGGCCTGATTCATCAGTCGGTTTCACTTCGTAGAAACAATCTGACCTCGCAGCATTAGAATTTGTTCGCTCGATGATAGGTGGGTACTTTTTTTAATTTAACCAGTCTATTAGCTATTTGGTTGTTTAACCAAGCTTTCAAGCTATTTGATCGTGACGTATGTAATGCTCCACTAATGGGACTAACTGGTATATTAAGCTTTTCCCAAATCTCGTAGGAAGAAGGGCAATAACATCTTTCCCCTTGATAAAATTCGCTGAACATTCTCTTTATTCCAGCTTTAAATCCTTGATCTCGGGAATCATTGCCATCACAGAATGTATGGCTCTTCGGTGATTGGCTGGTGCCCAAACTTGCATTTTCGGGGTATTTGCAAACCATCTAGTGTATTCTGATTCCTGACCTAGTCACTGGAGAGAAATGAAATTGAGTGGAGGCACTAGGTGGCACCAGCCTGGCTAGACAGAAGCACCCCTATGAACACTTCCTATTTACAACATGTCCATTTATATTTACAGTCCATGATAGTGAGATAGACATGAATTTGCTGTCACTCATCAATATTGTCTGAGTGAATAAAGCTACAGGCCAAAAGTAATTTTGAATGCATTCAAATGTGCCCAGATCCAAATCAAAATGGTGACCTTACCTTTGAGCTATAGAGCATTCACAAACTTGATATTAATCCACTTTTGTTGGTACTTGGTGGCCTTATTTAAAGCACTGCTCTTTAGTTGTTTATAGTACTCATGTAATTCTATTAATACTACTACTACTGAAACCAATGAACTATGGCAGTATTAATGGCCATAGTTAGTTGCCATGGTAATGTTTCATCTGCAGCAACAACAGTAGTTCGATATCCTAGAAGTAGAAGTGATAACAGAGGTAGGACTTAAAGGGCTCATATTATGCTACTTTGTGATCTATGTCATAATGTTGTTTTCTCATGAGTTGGGTTTTGTTTCATTCATACATATTTAACACACAAATCCTGCATATCCTTGTGGAAGGAAGTGCTCCACTGTGTTTTTAATCTCCACACACCTAGACTAGACCTACACTCCATTAGAAAAATTTGGATGATTTCTGTCCCTGGAATTGAATTTACTGAACTAAAGGTAAAAGGTAGCTGTTAACATGAAAACTACCACTAAATGACATCACAAAGTGGAACAGAGCATTTTGGGTTTTGGAGATATAGATAGAATAGTTACTCAAACATGTGTGAATGAGACAAACCACAGCTCCAGGTTTTTGATCAGGTAACGTCATTGTAGTATGACTTAAATCTCACAAGAGTCAATTTTGCGTAATATGGGACCTTTAATGTGCTTTGAATAGACAATGTAATCTTCTACATTTATTTTACTTTATTTAGTAGTCTGTAGACTCGGGTATAATGTTGCTCACCTTCCTCTGTATTTAACTAAGTTCAGTTTTCATCTCAGTGCATTGAACATTTTCACATTGACATTTCTCACTATATCTGCTACGGCTTGGCTCATCTAGAGGCAATTTGAAGGAATGATAGGAATTACAGAGATGTTCTTCTTCTATCACCAGGACCCAGGCTGTCTGCGACATCCCCCCAGTCTCCTGTTCACTGTCAGAGCAGACGAGTGCGTTTGCTAATAACATACTGAGGGACATACAGTCCAGGCCATGATCAGGGTAATTATGAAATCAGACATCTTCCCCTCTGACTACAAACATGTCATTTGGTGAGCAACTCTGTGATTTCTACTCTGCATCATTAATTCAGCGCAGATAGAATTATTTACTTTACTACATTTCATGGTAATGTAAATTTTTAATTATTTTAGATATATTCTGGATTAAAAGTGTTACAATGTCTATTTGATCATACTGAAATATTTGAAGGTTTAGGTATAAATATAAAGTTTTATATATATATATATATATATATATATATATATATATCACATAAAATAAAGCAAAGTGCTTAAATTTGTCACATGTACACTGCGTCTCCCCCTAAATCTCACAACTCCACCGCTGCAGCACAAGTATGAGCCATCTCAGCCTCTCCTCCTTCTATAAATCCCTGGCCTGATTCATCAGCCGGTTTCATTTTGTGGAAACCATCTGACCTCGCAGCATTAGAATTCATTCGCTCGACAGTAGCGGGTACTTTTTTTATTTAACCAATCACTGCTATTTGGTCGTGATGTATGTAATGCGCCATTAACTGGTATATTAAGCTTTTCCCAAGTCCCGTAGGAAGCAGGGCAATAATGACTTTCCCCTTTATAAATTCACCCAACATTCTCTTTGTTCTGGCTTTAAATCCTCCATCTCAGAAATTGTTGCCAACACAGAATGTATGACTCTTTGCTGATTGGCTGGTGCCCGAACTTGCACTTCTGGGGTTTTTGCAAACCATCTAGTGTATTCTGATTCCTGACCTAGTCGCTGGAGAGAAATGAAATTGAGCTGAGGCACTAGGTGGCACCAGCCTGGCTACATACATAACATAATGTTTAGCAATAAACATGTCTATATTCTCTATATTTTCTCTTGTCTGTGTTTTGTCTATTTGGTTTTATTTATTTATTGCTATTCTGTGGTTTTACTCTTATTTTATTTGAGTGGTTTTACTGTTTTAAGACAAGTATGATTGTATTACTATTGTTGTTATTAGTATGTATTTGTGCAGCACTTTGGAAACTGTTTGTTTGTGAAATGTGCTGTATAAATAAAGTGGATTGGATATTCATATAGATTGCATTGCGGCAGTATAACATGACCAACTTTGCATAAGGTGAATTAGTATCTAAATATAGCACAAAGCCATGCGCCTACAGTTTCTAATGGTGCATATAAGCAGTAGCTGTATTTTTATCAAAGAACTAATGCACCTGTATACATTAAGCAAACAATGGTTCTCTTTTGCGATTCTATCTATAAGTGCATTTTATTGTAATCCTCAACCTGATTAATTCTCTGTTCAGTTGTCTGCTCTTCAATCATAATAAACTTACATAATTATGAATTTTAGTACATGCTATGCAGCTGACTTTAATTAAGTGATCTTCCACACAACGTCAGGCCTTGGCTTTTTGCTGTTCCTAAGCAACACAGCCATCCCTGACTCAATTACAACATTACTTGATTCCTCTCTCTGCAAATGACTTATGGGTTGCATTACTTAACAGTAGAGATTCGACAATAGGCCCAACAGGTAGAGAGGGCAGGCTAATTACCAACGCAGCGTGTGCATTAAATTATAATAGTGGGATGCTGGGCTGCCTGGTATGTTCAACTGTGTAGTCTTTTCACCGATTGGCATGCCCGGGCTTTATTTACTAACCACGCAGATGCTAAATGGTTTTACAGATGTACGAAACGGCAGGAGCTCTAGGCATTTCAGCACAAATTCACTTCTCCGAGAACAGCGGGAGTAATACAGTAATCTCAATTGAATCTCGCCAGCGCATGGCAAGAGTGTAAATCTGTCCCCAGCTTGAAATAATGGTCATTGTCATTGTATTGTGTGAACTGCAAACATACAGTAGAAGTTCTCAGTGACTGAATGTGCTGTGACTTCAAATACTACCACCCGTATTATCAATAATACTAGGATATTAAAACTACTATTGCTACTGCTACTATTTACTACAACTAACATAACATGTCACTACTACTACTACTACTACTATTACTACTACTACTACTGCTGCTACTATTACTACTACTGCTACTACTACTACAGCAACCATTCTGACTACTCCTATTACTCCTCCTACTACTACTACTACTACTACTACTACTACTACTACTATTACTACTATACTACTACTACTACTACTACTACTACTAACTACTTCTACTACTACTACTACTACTACTACTACTACTATACTGCTATACTACTACTACAGCAACCATACTACTACTATACGCTATACTGCTACTACTACTACTACTACTACTACTACTATAATAATAATAATAATAATAATAATAATAATAATAATAATAATAATAATACAGCAAACATTCTGAAGCTACTTTTTTCCACAAGTGTTATTTTCTGTTATCCTAACTATTACTATTACCATTACTATTACTGTTATCACAACTACAACTACTGCAACTAATCAACTACCATTATCACTACTTGGATGTACTACTTACTGCTACTACTGTGTACTATTTAATAGTGCTTCTTCTTGATTTCTTCTTGTTACTGACTCGAACAAACTCAAAACTAAAACAACTCATTCCAGTTGACAAAAGATACTCTTAGTGGTAAAATGACACCAACCCCCCCCCCCCACTATATAACTTTTGGTTGGGGGTCCATATACTTCTTTTTTTCTGTGGATATGCCATTGCTCTGCCTGGAAAGTTCGATGACATTACATTAAACAGGTGGTTTTATAGCTCAAAAACATCTAGAAAAATGCATTCTGAGTGCGAGCAGGGTTGCCTCTCCACAGATCTGACTTGTAACTGGCTCTGGTTTGGTCTCCATGAAGATAGAAAGACTTAACGCCATACTGTGAAACAAAGCAATAACATATCTCACCAGAAAAGTTTGCAGCTTTAAAATTGAAAATGTACTGTACACTGTTACCGTAGTAACTGAATTTACTGAGCGGAATGTTTCCTATGAAAATGTCTCTTAAATTCAAACCAAACATTTGCTGAAGTATTTTGAAGGAGCTCAGCTGTGTGCAGAAGCCAGTAGTCCTTTCGTGATAATGTGTGACTAAATAGCAGAACTCTATTTTGGGGGACTGTGGATATGTGTTAAAAGGGAGTGCTGGTGAGGGCTAGGCTGAAACCAGACGAGCACAAATACTACTACTGGTACTATGTTTTTGGACAACGTGAACTGACATCTACAGTCAAGCAACCGTTATTAAGTATTCAAATAGCATACAAATACTTAGACTTTATTTATAAATGAGTATACTGTTACATGCAAAGGATATAGTCTGGAATACTATTATTATATATTTAAAGCGACTACAAACTTCTATGCAATTAATGCTGAAGACAGTTTGAGTTATCCTTGAAAGGTGCACTATGTTATTATTTTCTTGGGGGTGCATGGACGGAATGTTACATGTTTGTTTACAGGTGTTTTTATCCCAGGCAAAGCAATATTATCTATATGAAGAGAAGCAGGTGGTGGACCCTCCCCTAGGAAAGTTAGTGCACATTTTAAAATACAACAACATTTTTCACCTTAATCATATTTGTTTTTATTTAGATCAGACTTTAATTAAATCTATAAACGAAGATTTGTGTTCATAATCGTCACACTTTTAGAATCAAACATAACAGTAGCGCCTTGGACTGTGAGCCAAATTTACGACCCACTATTAAAATATTAAATAAGAACAATATGTGTTTGTGGCTGGTAATTACCGCGCACGGGCTCGATATTACGAGCGGCGACGTAAACAGTGTGAATGGGAGCGCAGCCATTTCTATATTTGTATTCCAGTTATGCTCTTCGTGAATTATTCAGCCTTTCCCCTCTGGAGCAGTTCACAGCTAATTAACAAAGGAGCTTGGTGCTAGCGTGGACCAGGGCATCTGACGCAGCTCTGAGTGAGTGATTCGGGCTGAGAGAGGAGCTAGCAGGGGACCCATCCATCCAGCTCTTATTGACAACGCTTCTGCTGAAATCACCCTGCACTGGTCTGATTAATTGGAGGTGGGGGACGCTGCTAATGGGTTAATGGGGTAGCTAAAGAATAGGAGGCAGAGAGAGGCTTAACATCAAGATTATTACTACAGTAGAGTTAAAGTTAAATGAGGAATGAATCAACCAAAAGCGAGCTGACAAATGTCTCAAAATGATTAGGATCTTGTGAAAAATACAAAAAACTATTAAATAAACAACATCTTTATTAATGAAAAAGACAGATTTAACTACCAGTCACTCCTAAAATTCCTGCTAACTCGCATTTTTTCTCCATTCTGATGTCGTGCGTGTAAGTCCTCCTAATCCTTCATTGAAGCAGTTCTTGAGATATCCAAGATATTATCATGAAATTAAATAAAAACAACTGGTAAGTCTGGTTGGTTTGATTCAATTTCGTGCTGATAAAAATATAACAGCTACAGCCGTACAATTTTGGTTCAAAATGGAATTCGCTTCAATAATAGATACTACACTTTTTGGGGGGGGCAACCACAAAAAATGTACCTCTTAGCCTTCTTTTATAGTGTGATGATTTATTTATTTTGTGTGTGTATGAGCTTGTAGGCTTTGACATAAGATTTACAGCTGGGAATTGATTTTTGAACCTGATGGTTTTATATCAGATGCTCTCTCTTGAGAAAATCCTCTTAAATTTTCCTTACTGGCTTCTTAACCCATGTTCGTATTGATTACTAGTACTAGCTACTATTAACTGCAAGCGTTTGCTACTAAAGCCCGACATGGACTGTACTAATGAGACTGCTATTAAGACAAGCTGCTTTGAGATATATAATATGGTTTGAAAATAAAAAACAGGAAGTAAAAAAATAATTGAATAATGTACGAATTATATGCAATAAATAAATGAATACACTCTAAAGTACAGAAACAAAACAATTGGAAGAGATCACGGTGGGCTTCTTTTCATTTAACATTTTACTCTGAGCTCTTTTCCCTAATACATGCCTAAACCCTGCGGCAGTGTCGTTTTTAGCTGTCAACATGGATTTAATTAGTCTTTTATGAAATCCACACAGAAATGTCAGTCGCCCTAGCGTGTCTAACCTGTGCGGTGAGGGTCTGGTCCCAACGGGAAGACCTGTGTTTGACTGTGCTCCCCTGTCAACTCACTGCAGGCTCCAGCTCCCCTCATCACAGTCACTCTCTATTAGCGCTGCTGCCATGAGAATACATATATTTACAACAGCTGTAGATTGCCTAAACTCCCCCCGAAGGACAATTCTCCATAGGTCGACAAAGTTTTAAGTTGCACTGTACGGGTGAATGCGGTGAAACAGCTATAACTGAGATGAATCACTGAGCAATTGCACGCTGCCTCTTGCAAACTGATTTAATTTAACGCTTGATATACGTCTTAAAGGACCAGCTCTTTTTGATTATTATGGACTGTATTTGTTTTATTATTGGCCAGTCATACAGCAACTCTTATTTGTCACAATATACACATTCTACAAGCTAATAAGAGAGGTTATGTAAACTACCGGTGGAGAATTGCAATAATTTCACTGTGTTTGTCCATGTGAATGTGATTACATACATTAATAATGTGTACTGTGTTTGTGGTTATTGCTTTTGAAAGCATGCAGGCCTTGTGCCTTGTGTTGTATTGTATTGTAGTCTTTTCTCATGGTAATCATCCCCAGTAACATGAGAAATAGGTGTATTCTACAATAATAACCGCTGTTGTCTTTGTGGAAGTGAGGCCTTCATACACATTCATTTGTTTTCTGAATGAATAGATTTAGTTTACAGATTTGCTGCACAAACAAAACATGTTTTATGTCACCTCAGCTCCCCATCCTGCTCTGCATTCATAATGTCCTTAGCAACTAATGAAATTAGCATTGGAAAGAACATTATAATGCTAGTGTCCTCTAGATTTATCAAATAAGCGGATGTGTGTGCATGTAAGGGATTTATTAAATGTAGATTGCTACTCATTAGCGGGCAAGTGGCTGCTCTTGTGTTTCTCTAAGTAAAGCAAGAAATGGAGGGTTGGGCAGGGAAAGACCTCTCCAGATTAGCATGAGTAAATGCTAACCATTATACTGGAAAATCTCAACATTAGCGGCTGCATTAATTCGCTGAGTGTATGCAGAGTGTGGCCTGGCTCGGTGCATGCATGAGCACACAGGCCTTTCCTCACTGTGGGCTGTTCCATTAGAAACCCCCCCGTGATTAGACAGAGGCTCCACCCACTTAGCTTTCCCTCTGCTTTGAGCCGGGGTGAAGGTGAGGGGCTGGGGTCTGATCCAGGTCACCCTCCCACCTCTCCGCTCTCTCTGCCTTCATTATTGATGAAGCTCCACTTACTCTACACACTGCTGTGGTAGAAGGCATTCCTCACTGCTACTGCATCTCCGGCATCTCAGACTTAAGATGCTCTGTGTTTTTCCCCATATTTATATTCTGCAGGTACCTGAAGCCTCCAATATCTTTCTATTCTGTCAACAGTAGCAGACAATACCCTCTATATTATTTTAATTAGCTCACAAATCACTGACATAAAACCTGTCATCTCATATTGGCATGTCTTCAGGGATGTCTTCATTGTAAATGGACTCGATAAAAGATAATAGTACATACATTTCACCGATCAGTTACAATACAATAAAGGTGAAGGCTATTGCATTAAGACAGTAAGGATGAGATTATCAGTATTACCCGTGTTTCCTTCAATAACACATGGAACTGAGTGTGACCATGGTGCATTGCAATCTCGATAGGTGTGTGTCCATGGCGATTGGCTGTTCGGACCGCCCTTTCTGCGCCGGGACATTGTAGTAGCACACTCAATACACTCTTCAAACCATACTGGGCTGCGAAGTGAAGCATTGTGGGTACCTCTGAATCATGGCTTTCTGGAAAGTAAATCAATTAATGTCATTCAGACAGATTTTTTTAAAGTTATTATAGTAATTATAATTATTATTATAAACAGTTCCACATTTACAGGATGATATATTTTCTTAAAATAGAAGTCCTGAGTGAAAAGATTTAAGGGATCTACTACTCTGACTATATGAACTACGACCACTGTTACTACTGGCTGGCTTAAATAACCCAAACATGGGGAAACTGCATTTTTGGAGAAACAAAGAGAAAAGCAAACGGCTCAGACCAAATGTAAAATATGTCTATTTTTTATATTTTAGATTGTCTTAAAATAAATAAAAATACACAAATAAACACATGCAATACATGCACAGCAATGAATGCATATGCATGCAAGTATACCTGTCTAGAGTGAGTAGACCTATTATCCACTGAACACCATGTTCCAAAGGTGTGGCGTTATTGCAAAGTGGTGCATTGTGGGTACTTGTGAATAATGGCTGTGTGGAAAGTAAATCAGTTCTTATAATTGAAATGGGCATTACTAACAAAGTGCCATTAGACATTGGGCAGTTGCATGATTGTACATTACGCCACACTTCCTTCCTTCCTCAGGTGATGGTTAGGAGTCGCTCTAATGCAATGCGAGCGCAGACATAAAGAGGCTCGGAGGCGCATATTGACCTGTTTGTCGTGGAAACATTTCCTCTTGCCCTTTTAAGCAGAATTAAGGATCAATCTCCGTGCTGATGAAGCCATCAATCTGCCACAGAATGAGCCCAGGAGTAATGCAGGCCTCTCATAGTGGATAATGTGTGTGTAGAAGAAGAAATGCACTGTAGTGTTCTCAATATATGAGGCCTTAAACATATACTGTATAAAGAATGTCATTTATAAATACAGTCTATAGGGGCATAAACATACCACATCCAGCCTCAGTTGAAATGTGTTTTGTTGATCTTGTCTGAAGCCTGTAATGAGCCACGTGATGTTTGAGGTTTTTGCCTTTTAGTCCAAATAAGCATGTCATTTTTTGAATTTTCTGGATTCTACTTCAGATGATGCATGATAGTCTAGTGGTCTGTACACTAAGCAATATTGTATGTTCCTTACACAGTCTATGGTTAAAATACATAAAAAGCAATGTCTGTATAAAATTGGTTGCTGCTCGTATAAGAATGGGCTCTATTCTTTGCCCTTTTAACCTCTTTGTTGCTTCCTTGGCATTATTGATCTGCCTTGAAGCTTTTCTTCATGGAGATGTTATTGCTTTGCTTGGAATCTTTCACAAATATTAAACCTTTCTATTTTCATGGAGACCAAACCAGACAGTTACAGACCAGATCTGTGGAGAGGTGACCCTGCTCAGTTAGAATGCCTGTTTTTCAAGGAATTTTTGAGCTAAAAAAAAACACCTATAATTGAATAAATGTAAAGTAGAGCTGTTTAATGTCATACTGTGAAACATTCCAGCTATAGCAATGACATCTCCATAGAAAGAAGCAGGTGATGGACCTGCCACCTGAAAAGTTACACAACACACCTTTAACTCTAAAATATACTGTCTAAGCCCACTGTGTAACTTCACCATTTTAAAAACCCACATAAAACAAAGATAGTCTTCCTATGTCAACCTCCCTTTATCCCTTCATTCCTTTACAGTGATCTGAAGCAGATGTTTTTCATGTTCAGTTGAAAGTAACATCCCCGCTGTGCCATACCTCTTTCAGGTGTGCTTTCTCTCTCCAGTCCTTGAAATCCTCCGCTGGGCATTCTCCTCTGCAGCATGGAAGACAGCATCTCATCCAGCTTCTCCACAGAGCTAACATCAAGAGCCTATATCCATACGGTTAGCATACTGTTACAATTTGAAAGTACATTTTAATGACAGACTTACAGAGGCGTGTGTGGATAGAGTATTTTTTGTCCTTTGCTATGGCTTTTCTTTACTAAAGATGTGTATTTTAGAAAACTTTCATACCCTTGTCCCCAGATCGTAAATATTGGAACTTTTCTGGTAGAGGGTCTGTCACAGAATGGCATTAAAGCAAACTTAAAATGCAGGTTAACTTATAGCCATGTTATTGTTGTTTCCCCTCATTATTTATTCACCCATAGTAGTATTTGGAGTAATTCTTACATGTTTGAGCAGTCTTTAATCGCTTATTTTCATTTTCAAGACACTATTATGCTGTTCACCCATCAGTGATATTCATAGGATATGTCAGCATCATCTAGTCATTTTAGTATGAATTTTAAAAAAAAGCTTGATTTGCAGGCATCCATGAGAGGTGGCGACAACTTCACCACTCTTTCTTGTAATGACTTTTATGGCGACGTCAGCTCCCACTGGAAACTGCAGTTTTTTAAAGTGGAAGACAGCGGGTTTGTTTCTTTTATTAAATCGTTTTAGATGAATAATGAGGTTTAAAATGTCTAAATCCATAATGATCCACAGATGTCATAGATTATAACTATATACCACAAGCACGATAGGTCTTCTTTACACTTATCTCCATGGAGACAGCAGGTGGCATACCCTCCACTAGAAACGTTACATAGTGCAGCTTTAATTACTGATAATAATAATCAGAACACTGAATGAGCTCCTTATGGCGGCCCATTCGAAGTGTAATTGTAATTTGTTTTTTGTTATGCACATACACTACTTTTAACTTTTCTTTGCACAGTGAAATGGGGTACGTTTCTTGTCAGATGACCTTTGTTAGATGTCTCTTCTTTTATCTTGGCTTTGGACTGGCAGAATGATAGAATAGATTGTAACCCCTTGTCACCAAACAACCTAAAAATGGGCTTGAATTAACCGCTCGAGCTTGCCTCTTCAAATCCAATTCGGTATTTATGGCCAAAGGAAAAAATAAATCAGAGTGGCTTTTTATTTCCCATCAATAAACACAAAACACATCAGCAGGGGTCTACTCTTTCAATCTGCTTTTCCTTTTATTTTCTCCTAATGGCTAAGTGAGTCCATTATAAGCCACAATTTGGGGGCGCCAATGGACTAATTTCTATAACAGTGTGTTACATAATCATGAGTCACTTAGTAACCTAGCATTGAGTGTGCAGGAGTGGAGACCAGAACATTAAAATGTGCCTCTGTCTCTTCCAACTCGGTCACTGCAAGAGTTTGAATACTTGAACATTCTGTCCATGATAATACGGAGTTAAGCTTGTTCTATATCTGGAATAGGCAAATATGAACTTCCAATGTAATTCCATAAAACGTATTTCTATGTAATCCACCCAAATGCAAAGCAGAGTCAGATCAAATCTCCTCTACCCCGTAGCCTTTGTCTAAATTGAATTAATTGTTCTATCATCATGGCTCATTTTGTGTTGGTTATTATGTTAGGGTTTGTAATGCAGCCGCAAGGATCATTATGTTATATTATTATTATATTATTATATTATTGCAATTTACAACAAAGAAAAATGAACAGCGATTTGTCAGGAGAGCCTTATGAAAACCTGTGTCAAACTGAGGGCAGATGAATTTATGAATGAAGATCGTTCTTGTTAGAGAACATGGAGCTTAAACTATATATCCTATATCATACTTTTATGTTTGATAAACTTCAGTACTGTTTACAGTAGTAGAATTAGTCCTGTCACAGTATAATAACATTTTGATGCCACTGACACGGATAATCCAAGGAAACCAGTTTTTAAATATACTGTATTATTAAAAGGCCTGAACTGCATCAGATAAATAGCCGCTATAGCAGTTATTTATTCAACCTTCTGCTACTAAAATTTTACAATATTACATAAAAAATCTTACCTTATTACATAAAAATGCAAAAATGTCTCACTATTGCAAAGAAATTTTACACATGAAAAATACTGAGCCCCAAAATATATTGTTCCAACTTTCATATACTGAAACTATATCTATATATGCCGCTGAGACTTTTACTTAATTATTATTATTATTATTATTTTTTTTTTTATGAGACAATTTTGAGGACAAATTTCCATATGGGGACAATAAATTGTATCTTAAGAGAGAGAGAAAGACTTTACTAATCACTGTAGGTCTTATTACGGTAATGGGAAGCTTATATTGCAGTAACAACGTCTTTCTGCATATTTAGCAGCGTGTTAACTACACTGTGTATCTTCACCTACTTATCTCACCCAAATGTGTATAAATTGCAAGCTGTTTGTGTTAGGATCTACTATACTGTACTATACCTGACACATGAATTGGACGGGGTCAGACACTTCAGACAGCAGGCGACTCATCTCCTCCAGGCGACTGTAGTACAATAACTCTGTGTTGTTCAGTGTAACTCCATTTCTTAACACACTCACTTTCACAATGCCTGATGGGAAATCTGTAGCCACAAACATCATTTATATACGCTACAATGTTTTCTCTAAACATGTTAATATATTTTTTCAGACCTGGGGCATTAATCCTCACAATGTTGTCACTCCATTGGTTAGGCTGGACCTTAACTGTCAGATTATCTTTGGAGAATTCCACTTCAGTGACATTGGCTGCACTTTCATTTTTTAAAAGTAAAAACACCTCCACAGGGTCCTACAAAGAGACAAATTGGTGGATTGTAGTGGAGACAGAGTACAATGGATAGTATCAAACTGCTACTGTAGACGAGATTAGGGCCTCACCCCACAGGGAACTCTGGAGGGAACAAGTGCAATTGTGGATAAAACACTGGAGCTGGGAGTTGACAGCTTTGGGAGCATGTTTTTCTTTTTTCCTGAAGATCTTCTTGACATTGCATTGACATTTGACACTGGAGATGATTCACCTATAAAGTTAGAATATATAGAGATTATATAGATTTTTATATATATATATATATATAGAGAGAGAGAGAGAGAGAGAGAGAGAGAGAGAGAGAGAGAGAGAGAGAGAGAGAGAGAGAGAGAGAGAGAGAGAGAGAGAGAGAGAGAGAGAGAGAGAGAGAGAGAGAGAGAGAGAGAGAGAGAGAGAGAGAGAGAGAGAGAGAGAGAGAGAGAGAGAGAGAGAGAGAGAGAGAGAGATTTCATTAAGGCTTTAAAAAGTATTAAATTATGTTGTCCAAGTCTTATTTTTTCACAAAGGTCTTAAATTTCATCAGCCTATTTTTTTATATACTCAACTGGGCTGCAGTGCAATGTTAAACGGAGGGTGGGAAAAAAACAACAACGTGAAATAATAATGAACATATGCGTATACGTGAATTTGGAGTATGCGCAAACAATACTTAGGTTTTTGGCACCAGCGGCAGTCAATAAACAATCAGTTCCATCTACACTGCCCAAGACGCAAAACTTTGGTCAGATCTGCTCACGTCGCGTACAAGTTTACGTCACATACATCACCATCTAACATCACCACCGAGCCGCCTGACATGCATACACAATCCAATTCCACACACTTTTGCATTACCATATGTAGATTTCCTCCTGAAAACTCTTGTCTAAACACGGAATAGAGAGTGAAGAGACACTACGCCACTTGTGTGTCTTCTGTTATAACCGTCATCATATAAATGTAGCCTTAGATTCTAGATGTAGCACCGGTAGTTGGTCGGTCATTATTAGAATTAGACCTGGTGATTTTTGCCCGCATAATGGGTGCAATGTTGGTCTTAATTTTCATTTAAGTGGTCTTAAAAAGGTATTTAAAAAGTCTTACATTTGTGGTAGTCAAACCCGGGATACTCTGATATACCGGTAATTATAATAAAACTTATCTCTGGACCCTGCCTATTTTCACAAACCTCTGGGACCTGACCATATTTTTTTATATGATTCTGAATCACAAAGGGACTTTTCATGGTTAAAACTATAACTTTCTATTAATTTTGTCTATAAACCTGTATATAATTTAACATAACTTAATTTACCTATATATAAAACATATTTTTTACAAAGCCACCATGATTTTAAGAGTTTAATCTATATTCTCATGCAATTTCAAGAGTTCAAGATCATGTAATATGCTTGTCTGTTTCAGTCTTCGTTGATCATTAGTAAAATAAACCTATAATATATATTGTCTAGTGTATAACTCCAACCTCCAAAACAAGCCTGCATTAAAATACAGTGTTCTCAACATGGCTTAACTCATGTAAAGAGCACTGGGGCCTTGCTTGTTATGCAGCTGTGAGAGCTATGAAGTAGACATTATCTAACCGTGTGTGGCGTATGCAGTAAACAATAGCATGTTCACATTTGAATAGGAGACAGTACTTGTGGGTTAAAATGTAACTGTTTTAGTCTGTCTCTGGCATGAAGCACTCTACTGTACCAGCGCAATATAGTGAGGAAGAGAGCACTTGAATTTGCATGGCTCACGATGTGTAATCAGAAAGAAGAGACTAGCGATTTGCATCAGATGTTCCTCCTGTGCACACCTGTATAAAACAACTATGATTTTATACAAATAGGGCAATTAGGAAAAACAGGACCACAGGCAGAGAAGAATAATTGTTGGGGGGGGCAGATGAGGACGTGTGGAGAGGCACGGTTATGTCTGATATGGGTCTGCAGCTGGGGATAAAATATATTGGATGTCAATCTTCCTTCGCGCACAAGTCGGTAGAAAATAATTTGGGAGAGTCTGAGATAAGTGACTTTAACATTCAACAGAAATGAATGTTTTGCCACTTCAAATGTGTATCAGAAATCACATGAAAACACCAGAAAAGTTACATAGTGCATTGCGTCGTTATTACATGGCTTCTTTGTTTAAATGCTTAAGTGAGTCAAAATAGGTTTTCTAATACATTCAAATTGTTATGTACTCAACAATGATCATAGATAAAACTCAAGATAGCAATCAAACAAGTGCAATAATCTGTCTGCAATAATATGTACTTGCAAATACATACAAAAACCTTATTACATTATTTTCCTATACACACAATATCCATCACAGCAGCCAGGTACTCTTGCAGATTCTGTTCACTTTATATTTTCAGACACTAATCTGTGTTTAATAGCATCAGGTCCAAAAGTGGCTTCAGCCCCTCTACAATGTTACAGACAACACCAAGGGTTTACAGATGTACTGGCCCAACTGGAAATAGTCATCTGCTACACACTATATCTGTGTCATAGCAGCAGATTCAGATGGGAAAGCACCTCCCAGGTCTGATTTTAGGTAAGTGGCCCATTGCTTTGCAGAGTTCTTATAAATGATTAGAACATCTTGTGTTGGAGTAGTTGAAAGAACAGCCAAAATATTGATTCTCAAACCAAGTAAACAACAGGTGATTTTGCTTAAGTTTGTTTACTGGAAACTATTTTGCACATTTCTTCCAGGGCTAGACAAAGACTATAAGAGTTCATTCATACATGCGCACAATGAGGACACAATTTGGAGTTAATCTAGAATTTAACCTGGACTACATTCAGACCAGAAGTGGACTGTAACAAAACCGAAACAAGTCTACACCAGGACTAAACTGGGATCAACCAGCAACAAACAGTGCTCTAATAAATCATAGCTAGATTAGGTCTAACCCAGTCTTGAAACAGGATAAAAGATGAGGCCAAAACACAAATCAGCATAGATGAAAACTGGAAAAATCTTCAAAGACCCATCTAAACCAGTCAATATAGAGCTTTATGCATTTCTAAGTTGCTAATTTTATACCATATGGACATTAATATTCTTTTCTGTAAGATTTGGTATAATAAGTAATTATAAGTAATTAATTGAAGAAAAACTAAAGCTAGAGTACCTCTACCTGTGTGGCTCATGTCTTCCGTGCAGTTATCTGACAGTGTAGCTGATAGAGAGAGGAGGACAACAGTCCTATTGTCAGGAGGAGCCTAGATAAGCTTCCTGTTGGTAATAAAAAATAAAAAAAACAGCATGGGACTGTTATTTAGAGATAGCCTGCAGACAATCTCATATGTTCTATTACAACCTAAGTTATTGCTTCTAATCCGGTCAATCTAAAGAAAACTTGGAAAAAAATATTTAGCCTATACTTAAAATTTTCCTCAATAAACCAGGACTAGAAAAGGAAAAAACTAAATCTATTTCATGACAAAAATGGGTTCAACTGGGACTTAATGGATGAATAATTTCAGTAAAAATATCAATAGATCTTGTTCCTGTTCTGGAATTTGATGGAACCACTTTCTAAATCAATTTTGCCTACTTCTTTTGTGCTGACCGAGAAGAATTTGAACTTTGTGCCAGCCTTTGTTTCATGTGGATAGACCCAGAAATGACAAACATATTAACCACAAATAAGGTAAACAAATACACAATCTGTCAGTTAAACAGCAGATTCTATTATATAATTATCTGTCCTCTAGCTCAATTTTCAGCTATAGAGATTCTTTTAAGTGAAAGTGAACGCAACCTATTCACTACTTTATAACTTACATATCCATAGACTCCACAGGGCAAAGGGACAGTCATATGAGAAAGTGTAGCCATGGACCAGTCTGACCTGGGTTTAATTAAGTCTGGTTGCGCGTTTCGGGGTGCAGAGTCTGACTGAAACCTCAGGCATGTTAGAGGTAATGATCCGCTGTAAATGTCTCCACTACAGGCACAGATAAAGAGGACGAGAAGCGCTCCTGACCCGCACAAACCCGGGTGCACACAAATGTAAGATTCACTGCTTCATTAGCTATCTCCACCTGCCAAACAACTGACTCATACCACACCAGCGTCTCCTCAAGCTTAATAGCCGCTTGCCTTCATTTATTTCCCTTCACCCAAAGAGGGAAATAAGCAGGTGAAAGTGAAAGCCTTTTTCTTTTTGTGCATGGAAATGGACAGTGTCAAAACAGTGTGAGTCACCAGAGATCGCTGTGTTCCCGAAGACCCACACATTTCAGGCATTCAGGTTAGTTTCTGACCTGAGGCACTAGAACGGATGAATTTGTGTAGCTACATAGTTGTCACTTTGATTTGGCGGGATTTTGACACAGTAGTGGGGTTAATATTTTGTGAGGGCTTTAAAGGTGGACTATGTAACTTTTATCATTGAGGTGCCTCCTGCTTGTCTCCTTGGAGATAGTATTTGCTTTGCCTAGATAGTTTCTCTACTTGGCATTAAACTTATCTCTCTTTTATTTATTCAATTATAGGCCTTTATTGCTAAGTACTGGGGACGCATGCATTTTTTTTGCAGGTGGGAGTTTAATGCAGTACTGTGGAAAAAGATATAAGCAGTGTTGGGAAGGTTACTTTTCAAATGTATTCCCCTACAGATTACAGATTACACACACCAACATGTAGTTTGTAATGTAATCCATTAAATTACTTAAAGTGAGTAACATAATCTGAACACTTTGAATTACTTGATTTGTTGTAGAGAAGCAAAGATGAGGAAATCATCTTTGCTTCTCTACAACAGCATGGTTTAGTCCTGTTAAATCCTGTTTTAGACCTGGTTTAGACCTGGTTTTAGTCCTGGTTTAGTCCTGGTTTAGACCTGGTTTTAGACCTGGTTTAGACCTGGTTTAGTCCTGGTTTAGTCCTGGTTTAGTCCTGGTTTAGACCTGGTTTAGACCTGGTTTTAGTCCTGGTTTAGACCTGGTTTTAGACCTGGTTTTAGACCTGGTGTATACCTGGTTTTAGACCTTGTTTAGACCTGGTTTAGACCTGGTTTAGACCTAGTTTAGACCTGGTTTTAGACCTGGTTTATACCTGGTTTAGACCTGCTTTAGACCTGGTTTGTACCTGGTTATAGACCTTGTTTACACCTGGTTTAGACCTGGTTTATTTTCCGGCAATGAGTGGAATTATGGGGGAAAAAAAAGAAGGGGATTTAGCTCAAAATGTAAAAACAGGAAAATACCACCGTGTAATCCATTTATTTCAACGAAGTAACTGTAATCCAAATATCACTCACTGAAACAGTAACTGTAACTGAATACAGTTACTCATAATTGTACTCTGATTACGTAACTCCGGTACATGTAATCTGTTACTTCCCAACACCGGATATAAGATATAAGAAAATTGGCCTCCAGAAAAGTTACATAGTGCGTCATAAAAGTTTTGATATTTTATTCATAATTTCAGTAAAAGTTGCTACAGCTAGTGCTACTACTAGACTGTGGTAACTGCTGTACCTGCCACTTTGTATGGAACTTGACCTGTCTATGCAAATTGATTTTGCGCTTCTAGTCAAGCCCAGTAACGTATTAGTTATTGTTTCAACTTTCTCTCAGTAGGGGGCACTGGAGAAAAGTTTTTTTTAGTGAGTTGATTACTTTATTTTCATACATTGTAGATCTTTAATGGGTTTCAGTGAATCTAAAGTTTTGTAAATTAGCTGTAATCCATGAGTGATCCATGTTAGACTTAGACAAACATTATTGACCCTCAAGGGGAATTATTTGGACACAGTAGCTCACGCATCACAATATAATATAATAACAAAGAGAGAAAAAATGTACAAATGGTAATAAGAATTTCTAAATAGGTAGCAAAAAAGAAAGCAAGAGACAGAAAAGGCAGAAAAGTTTTAAATGTAGTTTATACACAATTCATCTTAACTAATAAAATCAATCATAATGCACACATATATATTTTTTTATTTAATTATGTAATTGACTAATGAATGCCTAATTTTTGTTTAGCACAGAAAAAAAACAATAATGATTTCACAGAACTTCACATGATTAATTGAAATTTTTATAATTATAGCATTTTTATTTAAATAAAATTCTTCTCAAAAACAACAAGTATACACTATCAGTTAACTAACAACAATGCACTTTACTGAGGTGTAAAGTGTGCTGATGCCAAGGATCAAATGAGGTTGTAATATTAATAATTCATTTATAATAACAATGAAGGTATTGTTGTACGCTATTCTAATATTCTGATGCAATCTAATATTATTTTTAATTCATTATTTCTACATTCATTCCACGTAGACACTGGGAAGACACCCCTAGTAGGACTTCTTCATGCCATGAGTTTCATACAAGCCCTTTGATAAAACTACACTCACTCGCCGTGAAGTAGCTTTGGCCCTTTCCACCAATCAGAGCGCGTCTTTTTGACATATGGGCGGGACTTGCTGCGTCAACACGTTTGGGTGCACACTGCGCTCCGACAACTTGATACAGAGTAACAGTAAATCAGACCGAGCAGCTCCTCCGGCAGCAGCACCAGTGAAATTGTAGCCCTGTTGCGAGTATTTTTGGCCGCTGATAGAACCGAGTGAGCTCATTGCGGGTCTCTTTTCCTCGGCTATACCCGAAGAGAGAGTTGTCCAGCCCGGGTGGGAGAAGAGCAGAGCACCGCCGCACCGCAGGGTCTTCTCCGCTCTTCTTATATTTTTTTCCCGACTCCGTTTCTCGCATATAATTCTAGCACACTGGAAATGTCCGAAAACAAGCCGAATGATGACCCGAAGTTATCCACGACGGACAGGGTGGTCAAATGTAAGTGCGATCATTTCTCTGCGCTTGTATGTAAAAGGACACGCTTGCAGCACGTCTCCCCTTCTCCCTCTTTCTCTCTCTCCCTCTCTCTCTCAATATATCGGACCTTTCGTAGACTTGGAGAATTCCCAGTGGTCGCAGCAGCACCAGTAGACCCCCAAATGTAGTCGGAATTGTTGCTACTAGAGGAAGATGGGTGTTAGCCGAAGCTTTTGACAGCGACACTCAACTAGGAAGTGCAGCCAAGTCACAGTTTGTGTACAAAAAGCACAATCTAGCGTGCACCAGTCTATTTGACGTTTCTCCTGCCTTTTTGCCTATTCTGTCGGTATTACAATTCCCAATCCAAGCATCGAGTATAAGCAAAAGTGTACAAGATATATCGGTTCATTTTGGATTCACAGCTGTACAGTAGTTTACGCATACATATTGCACAATCCTTGCATTGGAGCCAAGGGCGATTTTCCCTCATTTTGCATGCATCACCAAGCTTATTTTTTTCTGTCTTTTTTTCAATTCTAGACTATCCGTTTTAAACCATTGCATAATAGCCTACTGTTTAGTCAGTTGTGTTTTGTTAGCGCGCATTCTTAGAGCATCCATGCCATATGAGGTGGTAGTCTATGTTTACAGGTTGGGCATTCCACCTTTGCTGTCTACCATAAGAAAGCTATAAAGATTGTGATCAACCTAGCCCTTGCAGTAGAAGTCATGGGCTTGCCTTGTTTTATGCCAGGCTATGAAAGAAATACATGTATTTGTTAAACATTTACACTTCTCTATGGTAGTCTTTTGTATTTTATGTTTTATTACATAGTAGTGCTCTTCTGACCCACTTGTTTCAGAGCCTGTAGTTGTAAGGACTGTTCAGAAGGCAGTGCAGATCATAGAATATTTGTTGTCATGGGGGAATTTTTACACAGTTTATGCCATTTTGGGTAATTGCTTGAAATTAATTGTTGTTGGCATGCAATCTTACAATTCCAGAAATTCTGCAATGTTCAAAGTACCCAAGGAATACTACTTCTAGAGCATATTACAAGGCGCATTACAAGATTTTCTGCATTTGGTCTGCAGACAACTTATCTTATCGTGGCTAGATTGTTAACCCTAAGTGTTTTTGTACTTATCAATGACTGCACTTGAAACTGAAAGCAGTGTTGTGCATCACATTAAAGTTGCGCTACTCTTTTTTTTTTTAAATAATGAAAAGTTCAAGCGATCACCCCCCTACCATCTTCAGCAACTAATGAAAGACACATTTAAGATTTCACTATGGGGTTTATTTAATGAATGTGCTTTGAAGATCTCTTTGTCTTGTCAAGTGGCTAAGGAAATGTCATTATTGTGGATGCCTCATTACTGTATTCCCCTCTCTGCAGTTAGCGAGGTCTGCTTAGCTCGTCAGGTTAAAGCGTATTGATCGGCCAATACACGCTGTCAGGGATTCTTGGAGATAGGGATGGACAATTAAATCACATTTGCAGTTTTCAAATAGCGGAGGCCACTGCTTAATCTTAATCTAAATAAGAAACAGAGAAACTTAAATATCTTTAGCATGCGTGATTGCTTTGACGTGGTGTTGAATGCTTTGTCCGGAAATCACTAATTAGTTTTTGTAGATTGTTTCCGTTTGCTTTCTTAATTAATGTGATGCCTGCCAACTTTATCTTAATTTATTTAATATACATTACATATATAAGAGCCAGTGCTCAGCAAGTACATCTCATTTCTAAATTAAAACAGTATGTCATATAGCCAGCCCTTCCCTACTTTATCTTCGTCATCACTTTCATTTTGCCTGCGATGAGCATAAAGGAAATAGTTGTTATTACATGTCAAGTCATTTTTTTTTGTAATTTTTTTTTTTTTTTTTTATAAATCACCTTTTTTTTTTTTTTTCAGTCCAACTTCAAGACCCTAAAACCATGAAACCTCTTTGGACCAATTTGCCTTGTCTGTACATCAGTTTTTGAAAAGCCCCTGTTTTGGTAATGCATCAGTATTATGACAACAGAAGTGGCAGCTGTGTACAAAGCACAAATCCAAAATAACTGCAGGCCAAATGTGTGAAGTAATTTGTTTTCAGCCTCTGCCTTGTTTGCCCTGCGACAAGGTGTCAGTCCAACTTATCATAAGTGCTTTGCATCCACCTGTTTTCCCCATGCATTATCGTAATGCTCCGGAAAGCAACTGGTGCATAGTAATTACTCATAAGAGTTTAATCAGCTGAGGCAGGGGCAGCCGCGTCATTTTGATCATGTTTGCACTCCTGGCGAAATAAATCACAATATAGGAGCAATTTACAGTTTATATTGAGTTGTTTTGACAGGCCTGCTTTGCTATTGGGATAAGATTCAGTCAATTTCAAACAAATTATGAGACAAAATGTACTGTTTTCTATTGTACGTTTTGTGCCGTGCTTGGGGTTCTGTTAGGAATTTAAATTAAATACCCTCCAATGGAAGGGTTGCTACTTTCATTCCTTTTTAGACCTAGTTTATTGTTTTATTGAGTCCTTTAGCGACTTGATATTCTTACATTGCCTTCCCTGATCATAGTATGTGTGGCAGGTAGGGCATCTGGTGTAAAAACTGGGGCATGCAATTGATTTACTATGCCTTCCTCATAGGTAACAACCCAGACCTAACTCTAAATTACAGTGGGGATTTGTCTGTGCTTAATTGCTTTAAAACATTAGCCCTGTCTTCAAAACTTAACTCACTAAACATTAATGAGCAGTACTTGAAATTAAATAATCTAATATAGCCATCACTGTCCATTCACCAGCTGCTGAGGCACGCTGGGAAATGTTGTTTTTGTATCTCCCGGGATGGAGACTGCCGTGTCCTTACCCCCTGGTGGAGCAGGGTCTGTCTGTACATGCCGGGATGAATAACTTGTGACATTTGACTTTTGAACGGGGCCCCTCTCGCTCAGACGTGTCCAGGTTAGAGATTCAGTGGTGCTGACAGCGGCGCGATGCCAACCCCGAGCCCGCCTATAAGAATCCCAGTCATTTATAGAAGGGAACATTAACTAACATAGATGTAAACTCTAGCCTAGGTGTGCCTTAAGCTGTGAATGGGTTTGCTCTATGTCTGTATGGCTCAATTATAAAGGATAGTATTGTATAGAGAAACAAATATTTAGGCAATAACTGCACTTTTAATTGCATTAATAAAGCATGAACAAAGACTTCAATTCAAAATGGACAAATAGTTTATTAAGAATTATTCAGATTTAGTTATTACCACTTCATTACTCCTATCCTAACCACTTCATTAAGTAGTTATTAGGTCTAAATCATTCTTGAAAATCCTATACTATGCAAAATTTACTCTTGGGACATTTAAGCCATGTTGGAATGTTGGAATCCGTAAAAACATACCCAGAGTTATGTTTTGTTTCATTCACACATGCTTGAGTAACCATGGTTTATTAGTTTGCCTACATCTCAAAAGCTCAGAATGCTCTTTTCCACCTTGTGATGCCATGTAGTGGCAGCTGTAACCATATGTTCATTATGAATTTTAGTTACTATAAATTTTCTATGTGTAATTTTCTCAGTGAACGTTTTCATTTTTGACTTTTATGTACAGGTTCAAGATAAATCTATTAGTTGTGGCATTTAACTTTATTTTTCTGTTTTGTATTTTGAGAAGCATTTTCCTTTTAATTAACACGTAATTACTCCCATGTGGCCTTTAACTTTTTTTAAAATTAATCCCCCAATGTTTAGAAACAAATGATTAGTTTTGTTACTCACCTTTGCAATCTCCTTTTTGATAGTCCTGTACCTAGACATAGAATTAAATAGCAGACACGTTTAAATCCTTTGTTTTGTCTAGGTAGTATGTAATATTCTGAAACTGGTCTCACTACGATGTGTGTAATTCTGCCTCTGAACTTGTCACTCTCTTCTTCGAAAGAGAAAAGAAAGCAGCCCTACAACATGTAACCAAACCGCATAAGCTTGTCCGACTCTTAGCTTGCAGGTAGTTTGTGGTCAGATGTGTTTATCAAATGCAATAACATAACGCTGACAGAAAACAAAAGCTTAGTTAAGAATAACATGAGCTGTATCTTGTGAAACTGATTAAGATACTTGAGAAAAAAGCTTGAAGTAATGATTACATTTTTGTTTCACAATTGTTATGAAAACTCCATAGAAACAAGACAATGACTCACTGGTTATTTCGATGTTAAGGATTTAAAAATTTACTGTAACATATCAAAATGCAAACTGAATGCAAACCATTCTAAATTAAAATAGAAATTGAAAGAGCACACGCCCTAGACTAAAAAAAGTTATATTTTTGACATTTTCAAGTTTTACACAACTTCTTCATATTAGTGTTGCCACGATACTAAAATTTCAAACTCAGTTTTGATACTAATTAAATGTGTGATACTTGATACCAATTCTGATACTACAGTAACAAGGGGAAAAAAACAATAGGACGACAGAATTACATTTTCAGTACATAATAGTGCTTTCTTTAATTCACCAAGTTACAATTAAATTCTGTCATGTTTATTGGGTTTTGTCAATATTTTTTAATTAAATTTTTTATTTTATCAATACTTGCTCAATTGAATATCTATTTTCTTTTTAGTATTGACTAGTTTCTGATTTTCAGTCCTTTTGACAACCCATCTTCATATTTACTGATCTGAATGATTTTATTGATTGATAGCTCTTCCCTCGTGCCGCTCAGCTGTCATCTCAAATCTCCCGCGCATTAACTACCCACTACCATTTTTTCTTCATCGTTTTGACAACCATCTACTCCAACCAATCAACCTAGAAAAGCTCAACCAACATGCAATCAAAGCCTGTCATCTATAGGCTGTTACTCCTCTTCTTTCCCCACAGCCATTGACTTGATTTGAACATATTGCATCATGGCGTAGTACCTGTGCTATCTCTAGTATTTCTAAGTGCACCTTTCCCGCTCATTAGATTAAGTGGGTTTCAGGCTGTGTTGTGGATTTGG